GCAGTGTTCAAGGCCGGGTTGGACACAGGGGCTTGGAGCAAGCTGCTCTAGTGGAAGGGGTCCCTGCCCGTGGCATGGGTTGAAGCTGGGTGAGCTTTAAGGTCCCTTCCAACACAAACCAGGCTGGGATTCTATAATTCCCCAAGTCCTTCAGTCAAATTCTGATACTGTGGGGCTGAAGCACCACATGGTTAAGGGGAAGAGCTCCTTGGAATGTGGCCTCTGCAGAACAAGCCACAGGGAGACCTCCAGAGCTACCCAGTACCCGAACTGCCTTGCAGAGCAGTTCCAGGACTCCTCTACTGCTGCACACCCTCACCAATATCTGTTTTAAGCACTTATACAACTCCTTAAGTGCCCCAGTTTTGCTTTCAAACCAACTACTGTCACAGAAACACCCTTCTGGGCACTTGTGTCCTGAGAGCCCCTTAAAAGGCTCCGGTCTTGTGACATAAAACAACCTGGATTTTGCTGCTCTCCCCATGCACTCTGGGTCTCCTCAGGAGAGCGGGCTTTTAACTACACCAAGCACTCACCTCCTATTTTCTGACACTGATGGACTGAACCTCACGCAGGAGCTTACACAAACACCAACAGCCGGCCTTTAATACCCAAACCCGACCAAACCAAGCCCCTCGAAAACCGCCGTGAAAAGGCATCGCTTCAACACCATAACCGTGACCACCACAATAAACGCATCGAGCCCGTGAGGCCGCAGCACTCAGGAACACCGGCACCGGGGTAGGCCCCAGTGTCACGGAGAAGTGACAGAGCCCGCTCCCTCCCTCCCCTCCCCGCGGGCCGCCCCCTCACCTGTTGATGAAGCCGTAACCGTTCCTCACGTTGAACCATTTGACAGTGCCCAAAACCTTCGTTGCTGGGGAAAGGGAGGAAGAGGAGAAGGGAGGAAGAGGAGAAGAAGAGGCGGCGGCGTCAGGGCGGCACGTGGCGGGGCGGCGCGCACAAAGGCCCCGCGTGGCGGACATCTTGGGCCTCCCCGCCCCCACCCCCCGCCGGCACGCGGGGCCCGGCGGCGCGCGCGGCGGGAGGAGGAGGAGGAGGAGGAGGAGGAAGGCGTTGGGAGCCCCAACGGCCGCGCGCGCGCGCGCCCCCGCCGCCGCCGCCTCCTCCTCCTCCCGCCGCCGCGCGCGCGCCGCCCCTCAGCGATGGCGGGCCCGGCGTGTGAGGGAAGGGAAGGGAAGGGAAGGGGGGGCGGTTGTGCTCGCGCCGCCGCTTCCCCCCCCCCCACCTCCTCCTCCTCCTCCTCCCCCTCATCAACCGCCCCCCGTCCCCGTCCCCTCACCGATGACCTTCTTGTCCCCGCCGGCGGGAGGAGCCGCCGAGGCCAGGCCGCTGCCCCCGTTCCCGGTACCGCCGTTAGGTTTGGAGTCGGCGGTGGCGGCGGGGGGGGCCGCCGCGGGGACGGGGGCGGCGGGCGGCTGGGTCTCGGCCTCGCTGCTCATGGCGGCGGCTGCTCGGTGCGGACGGTGGTGGTGACCGGCTGTTAGCGCCGCCTCCCGCGGTGTGATGGTGACTGCGGCCGGCCGTGGGGGGGGGGGGGGGGCTGCTCCCTGCTCCGGGCTCGCTGAGCTCCGCTCTCCGCTCCCGAGACCGATCGAACTGGCCACAATGGCGGCCCGCACCGGCTAGCCACCCCGCGCGCCCCGCCCGCGCCACACGCCATTCGCCGCTCGGGATGCCAGTTAAGCTCCGAGCGAACCCATTGGCTCGCACCCTCCCGGCTACCGCCCCTCGCCCAACGCCTATTGGCCGAGCCTCCTGCCTTTCCTCAGCAGCGCGCGCCCATTGGCTGCTGAGGCCGCCGCTGCCAGGCTCCCTTTTCTTACCGGCCAACCCGGAGTCCCCACCCCCGCTCTCTGATTGGCCGCCGCCGTTCGCTCCCGCCCCACAACGGGCACGACCGGGGCAGGGCGCGCTCCATGTGGCGGCGGTTCCGGGGGTACCGCAGCGGCCGTAACCGACGGCAGGAGCCCGGGACCGTTAACGGCGGCGGGGACCGGGCCGAGCCGCTCCGTGTCACTGAGGCACGGAGAGCCGGGCTGCAGCCCCGCCGCAGGGCTCCCTTAGAGCCCTCATTACCCTTTTCCGTCCCACCCCTCCATTCCCATCCTATCCTTTCCTTCCCAGTGGAGCTGCTTCACCCCGGGGCTGGGGGAAGGCTGTGGGGCAGCTCGCCCTGCCCGGAGCTGGCCTCTTCAACGTGATGGAACCCTTCTCTGCCGATGCCTCCATCCCATGTGTCCACCTGACAGCGGCTGAGAGATCCCAGATCTCTGCTGGATTCCCCACATGGGAAGGTCCAAGGGAAACCCAGGGTTCTCCTCCACCAAGTTCTCCTCCTTGGGCACACAGAGCCCTGCCCTTGGCTATGTCATTCCTCCCCCATCCCTCCCGCTACGTCCAGCTCTGGGGCAGCAGCACAAGAGGGACGTGGAGCTGTTGGAGAGAGGCCAGAGGAGGCCATGGAGATGCTGCGAGGGCTGGAGCAGCTCTGCTCTGGAGCCAGGCTGAGAGAGCTGGGCTGGGGCAGCCTGGACAAGAGAAGGCTCCTGAAGGGGAGACCTGAGAGCAGCTCCAGTGCCTGAAGGGGCTGCAGGAAAGCTGGAGAGGGGCTGGGGACAAGGGATGTAGGGACAGGCCAAGGGGAATGGCTTTAACCTGCCAGAGGGGAGACTGAGATGAGCTCTTAGGCAGAAGCTCTTCCCTGGGAGGGTGCTGAGGCGCTGGCACAGGGTGCCTAGAGAAGCTGTGGCTGCCTCATCCCTGGCAGTGTTCAAGGGCAGGTTGGACACAGGGGCTTGGAGCAAGCTGCTCTAGTGGAAGGTGTCCCTGCCCGTGGCAGGGGTTGGAAATGGATGAGCTTTAAGGTCCCTTCAACCCAAACCAGGCTGGGATTCTGTGATAAGAAAAGGGAAAGGTCACCAGCAACCACCCAAGGTCTCTGGGAGCTCACCCATCACTCCACCACCTTTGCAACCAATGGGTATCCCCTTGAGATCAGTCCTTCCAGTGTCACCTCTGCATCAAATGCCCGTTTTCCCATCCCACAGTGAAGAACAGATGCCAGTTCCCCACACTGCACCATGACTGGGTGAGGGGCTTGGATGGGACCAAGATCAAGTGACCACAACAACCAGCATGCATGTCTCATCAAGCCATCTTGGTAACTTTTCAATGGTACCTCCAACTAAGCTAATGGAGTAAAGAGCCTGAAAACACAATCCCACAAGGGGTCTGCATCAGGATTATTGCCTTGATAAAGAAAGTGGAATGATACCAAAACTGGATGATGCTCAGGAGATCAACTGAAAAATAACTCTTATAATGGTCTTTCCATGTGAGAGAATCCAGAGGAGAAAACTTCACATCTCAAATCCATCATCTGCTCTACAGCAGGAGATTCCAGGATGTGCTACATACAACGTAACCGAAGGGGACTTCATCATGGGGGAGTTCAGCCCAAAAATGTGGTCTTTGAGGAAGCTTTCACCCAGCAGCTAAGGAACAGCAAGGTCCATCAGCTGGGAAGCCGGAACTCTGCACATCAGACGTCAAAGAGAAACACTCACAGGATATAATTAGCTCTTGGAACAGCTTTCAAAGAGGTTGTAATGGATTTGCTGCTGCTAATTACTTTGGGGAAGCTCTGTGACCCTGCTATGCTGACAAATACTGCAGGTTGAGAAAGTGCTGCCGAGCCTGGGCCCACAAAACAACCTGGTTTCCCTGGTGAAGAAGCCCAGTAAATCTGGGTACCCACAGCCAGACCCACAATGCTGCAGAAGAGCCCACCATAGCTGCCCAGAGCCAAGCTCCTGCCTCAGCCCTGCAGGGAAGAGCCATCAGGACACGTTTCCTGAGCAGGATCAGCAGCTGAGTTTCCCTCTTTTTGGTCACCCCTGCCTCAGAGCTGACATCTGGCTCCAGGTTTCTCTTCCCTATTAGGAATCTTCTACCCTCAGCTCACAGGAGAGAGCCCTCTGCAGTCTTTTGGGGGCTGGAGAGGAAAGGGAAGGTGTGCTTTGTGTTTCTTTCATCACTTGGCATTCTGCAGGTGCAAGAGGGTGAGATGCCTCAGGGTGGGAGAAGTGAGCACGAGTCCCCAGCAGATAGGTGACACTGGTTTCTGGGAGAAGAAAGTGATGTTTCCCATTAACCTGCTGCCTCAGCTGTGCTCATTGTAACCACACAGGATAAGGACCCCTAGTTTCTACTCCTACAGCTCAGTCATTCTCTACTTCCCAGCCCAAAACCCTGCTCCAACACCCTTGTAGCACCTAGGTAAATTCCTGTAACATCCATAGCACAGAACAGCCCCATGGCCCAGTGCTGCTGTGTGCCATGGAGGTTCTACAAACACTTGTTCACAACATAACTCACCACAGAGCCCAGCAAACTCAGGTCATCACAGAATTCCAGACCGGTTTGGGTTGGAAAGGACCTTAAAGCTCATCCAGCTCCAACCCCTGCCACTGGAGCTGCTCTAAGGTCTCCCCTTCAGGAGCCTTCCTTCTCCAGGCTGACCCAGCCCAGCTCTCTCAGCCTGGCTCCAGAGCAGAGCTGCTCCAGCCCTCGCAGCATCTCCATGGCCTCCTCTGGATTGGGTCCAGCAGCTCCATGTTCCTCTTGTGCTGCTGCCCCAGAGCTGGACACAGGATGCAGGGGGCTCTGCGCCACACCAGTATCTTGTGCTTCAGTAAGGCTGCATGTAGAAAGGTTCTGGTCATCCCCAAGGTACCAAGATCCTCTGCCAGGCAGCCTTATTTACCTGCTGAGTAAAGGAGCTGGTGTAGCTCAGCACTGCCATGCTCTGTCACACTGCTTCCATCCCTTCTTGCCCATTTGCAATCCTCCTCAACAGCACACGCAGTAAATGTTCCCTGCTGAACCAGCCTGGGAACGGTGCTCGCTGCTGAAGATGCTCCTCTCCTGAAGAAGAACCTGTTCCCAAGCACGTTCACTGATGTGCACTGCACACGTATTTAACAAAACTCTTTATTTACACTTCAAAATGTAAAAAACAAAATAGATGCCAAGTACTAAATAATTTCAGGAGAATGTCAAGAGCCAAGAGCTTGGACCTGGGCTGCGGGGAGGACTCGGGCAGTGGGGAACTGGCTGGAGTTGGAACTGCACGGAGCCAGCACAGGCCTAACCACCAGCGATGGATGGAACACTGAAACAAAGCAGAAACAGATCCGAAATGCTGGACAGTCCTTCCCAACATATCCTACAACAGCAAGACTGCGCAGTGACACTGGGTGATGCTACAGCAGTTTTCAAGCGAGTGCTACTTGCTCATGTCAGTCCTGAGCTAGAGAAGCCAGAAGTCCTGCATCTCCACAGCAGGCAGCTGCACCTACATATGAACTTAAAATCTATCTGGTTTGAAAGGATCTTGACAAGTAACTTATTCAGTTGTCTTGACACTGGGCAAAAAAAAAGCCCTTGTTGTCTACAGAAAGCTGAGAGGCAGCAGGCTGCAGAAAGGCAGTTCCAAAGGCCTGGCTGGGGATGTAAGCAAGGTGGCACCAGCCTCATACCTAGAAATTAAAAGCTTCCAGTCTCAAGTTGGATGTTGGCCACAGATCACGTACTCCAAAACGAAATCATCAACAAGCTTGAGCCTGAGGACAAGCCTGAAGGGGACCTGACCCATGTGCACGGGTCTGCCCATCTGCAGAAAGTATATTAACAAGGTTGTCCCCGCCTTCAAAAGCTTATAAATGCCACCAGAAGCACCAGGGAAATGAGGGAATGATTACATCCCCTGTTGTCACTTCATCAAACAGGAGGAGCTCCCAAGAGCCTGAAGTGCTGCAGATCTGAAAGACTATTATGGAAGCGCGGATGCGTCTTCGTGGGCAATTCCAGATGTCTCTGGAAATCACGTAATGGAAGGTCAAAAACTGTGGGATTTGCTGTTCTCAGTGCCTGCCTGTGGGAATTGGAAAAATCAGCAACCAAAAGGCTAATCCAGCAGATTTTTGACAAGCTGCAGCCTGACACATTGAAATGTAGACAGATTTGTTCAAATGCTCGTGTTTTTGATGGTAAAGTGGGCGGACAAATGGAAACAGAACATTGTACATCAGCTCTGTCTGGAACCTATTGGTTTAACCAGAATAAAGCCATAGTAAATGCTGGAAACATCTCCCTCCAGATGAGCACGTGGCATTTTTTCGAGTGAAGGTTCTATCTAACATGGTAATTCCTTGATTCTTCACTGGTGGCAGCTCTGTGGCTGCACTGAGCAGGGAGACTTAAATCCGCTCTTTCTCCTCTCCTCTTCTTGACCTCTGCCTGCTCTGCTTTCTGTAACAATCGGTTCACCAACCTGCAGGTCAAAGTGAAGCCCTCACCCCTTAAGACTCCCTGGGTAACAGCAGCAGATTCCTGCTGCAGTTCCCTTTCATCCACTGGTTTCTAAAGCGGAGGCTTGAAGGCAGCTTAACCCCATTCCACAACCCCACCTTCCCCATGACTGCAGCTGCAAAATCCTATCCCTCCAGCACTGCCTTTGGTGTCTGTGTAGCTCAGAGGGAAGCCAGTTCAGGGAGTGGAGCTGGCAAATAACTAAGCAGTTAGAGAAGCACTTTCTGGTGTTTCACTGAGCTGAGTCAGCTCTCACCAATGAATGTGAAAATAAGTTAAGAGGAAAGGAAGGAGCAGGGCAGCCCAGAGTGCAACTGCACTGGGTGCCTGTGAAGACAGACTTACCACGTTTCTGTTTCACTGTTTTTACATTTCCCCACACTGAGAGATCACAACTGGCAGCTTGGGTTTGTTATTGGGACCTGTAGGCACGTTCTGGGGACAAAGAAAGATATAACCTTAAAACTTCTGAAAGCACAAAGCCAGTGAGCAACAGGTACCTGAAAATGGCTGAGAGATGCCTGTACAACGTCAGGAACAGGGAAGCTGGGACACAGCTCTGCGTGACATGGAAGCGCTGTTATGCATTTTGGCATCAGCCATAAGCTGATGTGCAGAGGTTTGGGATACAGACCAGAGCCTGATCCTTTGAATGGGAGGGAAGGAACAGAGCAAAAGCAGGGGAGGTCCTCCTGAGATACAGCCAGCATCATGTCACTTGAGACTGCTCTGGCTTAAGTCTTTAAGTTACTAATTACAGCTCCAATGAGCAAAGGAAAACCGTGTTGTACAGAAAGTCAACCTACACATGAGCCACGCACAAGCAGCCCCCCTGAGCCCCTCATTCTGCTGGACTCTGCTCCTCCATGAGTCTCCTTTCCGTTACCTTGCCCCTCACTGCTGCAGTGCACAAAGCAGACACACCACCAGTGCTCCTGGTGAAGAGGACTAGCAACACGTTATATCATGCTGTACAGCTCCTCACATGTGACCTTTTCTCAGCACCCAGCAGGTCTTGTGTTTGCCCTGCTTTTTTAGCTTTAGACCAGAGGCCCTTGAGCACCTTATCCCAGGCCTGTGCAATGAAGCTGGGTGTCAGAACTCTCTGCTGTTTGGTAAACCTACTCATCCAGCTGCCAGGACACCCAGTCACAACACTGGGAGCAACCTCCAGCCCTGAGCATCTTCATCTTCAGGCTCCTGAAAGCCCATCAGAAGAGGAGTTGAATTTCTCTTATTAAACATGCTGATCACAGATCAGCAGAACTGATGAGTTAGCACCCAATGAATAATCCCAGGCAATGGCACAGAAGTGATCTGCTTTACACTCTTGTCTGAGCTGCTGATGGAACAGCTTTTTAATTCAGCTTCCCGAACAAATGCAAAGCATTGCAAATAAAGCCACCAGAACACAATCCCTGCTCACAGACCAACCAGCAACCACGAGAGCAGAGCCTTTCTAAAGCCAATCTCTATGACAGCCTTTGCCTCTACAGATTTCCTGCTATTCTAGAACGATGACAATCAATAATACCAGTTCTCAGCACTGGTATTCCCTGATATCCTGTCAACAGGCAGTGGGAGAGAACAGAACAACCCTTGTTAATCCTCTACAAGACTTTCCAACATGGACATTCATAGAGAAATAGGTGAATTCAACTTACCTCAATTTTTCTCATGACCAACAGCCCATCAACAATTTTACCTGGAATGAGAAGATTCACCCACTTCAATAAGGCTATTTTTCACCTTTGCTCCCCCCAACTCATCACAGGTACATGTGGTTTTGTTCCCAAAGGAAAGCCTTGTGCAGTGTATTGGGCACTTCAGGGTTTGCTACCCATCTCTAAACTGACAAAGGGAACAATCCCTCTTAACACATATTCCACATTCAGAACGGATCAAGTGCTTTTTCCCATGGCAAGGGTGGCACATGCAGCTATGTAGGTTTTGAGACCTACTGCCACCAGCTGTGCTAAAACACACCACGAACTCCCTCTATCAACACCACCCTGGTAATGATGCAAAACCATCAATGAACAATAGCAGTGTTACTTAAGAACTGGAGGAAGTAGTAAGTAGAGCTTCAGCTTAAAGGCTGATCTTGAGATCCCACAGCTCATGTGACAGCACATGAAGAGTCAGCAGTTGGGGTTTCATGGAATTACTATCTAAAAACTACTGAAAGCTCAGTCCTCTCTGGCAGTGGAGAGGAAAGGTGTCCCTCCACTCATCTGTCTGCACTGGCACAAGGATTTGTGCAGTAATGTGACACCAGTCAAGGTGAGACTCAGAGCAGCCCTGCAGGGAAGGACTTAGGGGTGCTGGTCAATGAGAAAATTAACATGAGCCAGCTTCAGTGTGCGCTTGCAGCCCTGAAACCAACCGTATCCTGGGCTGCATCAAAAGGAGCGTGACCAGCAGGGCGAAGGAGGTGATCCTGCCCCTCTGCTCTGCTCCTGTGAGACCTCACTTGCAGCACTGTGTGCAGTTCTGGTGTCCTCAACATAAAAAGGACATGGAGCTGCTAGAACAAGTCCAGAGGAGGCCATGAGGATGATCAGGGGCTGGAGCACCTCCTGTATGGAGATAGGATGAGAAAGTTGGGGCTGTTCAGCCTGGAGAAGAGAAGCTGCGTGGAGAATTCATAGCAGCCTTCCAGTGTCTGAAGGGGGCTACAGGGATGCTGGGCAGGGACTCTTCATTAGGGACTGTAGTGACAGGACAAGGGGTAACGGGTTCAAACTGAAACAGGGGAAGTTTAGACTGGATATAAGGAGGAAGTTCTTTACTGTAAGGGTGCTGAGGCACTGGAATGGGTTGCCCAGGGAAGTTGTGAATGCTCCATCCCTGGCAGCGCTCAAGGCCAGGCTGGACAGAGCCTTGTGTGCCATGGTTTAGTGTGAGGTGTCCCTGCCCATGGCAGGGAGGTTGGAACTGGATGAGCTTAAGGTCTTTTCCAACCCGAACTATTCTGTGATTCTGTGAACTGATCTGGATTAAAGCTAAACTGGGAAAAAAAACATTTCATTTCCTCAGTGACCCATCAGAGCACCTGTACAGACACCTCCACCAGCACAGACAAGGGGGAAGGACACAGCTCCTGGCTCATGGGGGGTACTCACCAAACACAACATGTTTCCCATCCAACCAGTCACATTTGGAGCAGGTAATGAAAAACTGGCAGCCGTTGGTACTGGGACCACTGTTTGCCTGGGGGCGAGAATGGCAAAACACAAAAAGGGCACAATTTAAGGCTTCCCAAAACTGAAGGCAGACACATCTCACACAGAGAAAAGCTGTTGCTCTAGGCCTAGCTTATATTTAGCTTATGGCTACACAGACTAAGGGAAGCAAGACAGACATCTGCAGGAGGGTACCCTGTGCTGGGACATGCCACACCACCAAGCCTGCTCATGCCAGTGACCAGACCAGCCTTTTATTGTCATTCTACAAAGGCATGTTCAGCACAAGACTGCGCTCAAATCTGGGCTCTACAGCTTGCTCTTGAAAACAGGCTGAACTCTTTGGTGATCAGTACTTATTGGGTGCAGTATTGTCCTAGAGAAAACTGAAAGCCAGGAACCAGGGCAGATATTAAAGCCTGTTCCTGTGCTGACAGGTAAGCCAGGCAAGTTTTGCAGCTGCAGGACTGCACAGGATATGGTCACATTGGACTTTTCCTTATTGTTAGCCAGCTTTGGAAGGATCCACCTGGGATGCACCATGGTTTGGCTCAGCAGAATGACTCCAGCACCATGTCACTTGAACACAAAGCTGGTGACACCAGTGAGGATCCCTCCTCCCACACCACAGTACACTAGTGGCTGAGCTGTGTCGTGAAGCCTCTTTTTAGGCCATGTTTTGAACTGGATGAATAGCTAATCCAAATGGTGAATGCCCAAAGGAAGTGGTTTTAAGGGCAGGGCAGCTGGAAGAGCTGGAAAAGAAGCCACTGTGGATGGGAACACTGAAGCCCTGGCTCCACTTGCTTTCTATCCCAGAAGTCAGGGTATTGTTCCTACCAGACAACGTGCAATGGTTGCAGTTTTTCCTACAATGCTGAACAGGAAGCATATGTTATAAAAGATACCATGGTAACACTGCTGCAGCTTTGAACCTCCCAGATCTCTTTGTTTCACCCTTGCTGAGGTCAGTGCTTGATAACAGTATCAGGGAAGAAGAAAACACCACCACCTGCCCTGTCTGAAAACTAAGAATCAAGCAATGCCACAGGCTGATCAAACAAAGCCTGGCCCAGCACTCCAACAGGTAACAACGAAAGGATGCTGCAGGATCAGAACTTCTGTGTTACTCCACACATTAACCCACGAACAGCCTTCTGACTAGTAGTTACAAAGCAGATCTTTCAGACCTTGGATCCAATGGTGGTGATTTCTGTTGTCTGACAAATAACTTTATACACTTAGGAAAAAGAGCACAAAGTACCAAAAGCTTTTTAGTCTTATGAAGCCATTATTTCATACTCACCATAGAGAGCAGCCCAGGAGCAGAATGTTTCAGCTTGAAGTTTTCATCTGCAAAGGGACCCCTGTATATACTAGCTACGCCAGTGCCATCTCCCTGCACGAAAGAGGTGCCCAGTCAGCCACAGCCTTTGTTCTGTAGCAACTGCTACAGAACAATTCAATTTAAACATTACATTTAAAATCCCCAAGCAAAAGAACAGGGTTAAATTCAGCCCAAAACAGAAGCTGTCCTGCCAGTTACACACACCAGCTGTGAACACATCCCACGTTTCATTTCTGAAGAGGAACTCCTTTCTAACTGCACACAACATTGTTTGCCATCCGTATGTTGGCAGAAACCCACAGTGATGGTAAGGATTAAGCCCAAGCCTCCCAGAGTGGGATGGAAGCTTTAGATTGCTTGGTATAGACCCACCTGGACTTGGCATGGAAAAGGAAAAGGAGACAGAAGCATGGGCTGGTGTGATAAGGAAAGCAGAAGTGGTCGTGTGGAAGAAGTGAGCTGATGCTGTGCTTACTTATTTCACCTTCTTTTCTGTGACTGCTGTGAACAGGGAAGTGATCTCCACGCAGCAAGGGCAGTTGCTAAAAAAGAGGTTTGCTAATTTCTGCTGTACTTTCTACCACGTCCAGACATCCTGTACTTAACTACGAGCCCCAGCACTCACATCCCAAGACCCTGCTAAATTAAAGCAGCAAGGCCCACACCAGCAGCAGAATGCAGGCTCTGACTGCTCAGTTTGTAACCTTGCAGAAGCACCAGCATGGCTCACGTAAGACACGTAAGCTGTGGGACTGCTGGAATGACCCTGCCCTTTGGTCCAGCATTGCAGACACTCCTGTGTGATGCCTTCAATAAACTGGCCATAAAGATGCTGCAGTGAGGAACTCTTCAGGGAAGGGTGCAGAAGCAATGCAAACAGGTATCTTGGGCACGGTCAGTTTAACTTACTCTCCTGACAGCAATTCCCATTTCTGGGTTGATTTTCCCTTCCTTTGTCACTTCAGCACCATTTCTTCTGCTTTGCTGCAGTCTGTCTCCCTTCACTGCCTTTCTGCTTTACATATATGTTCTTTCTTAAGACAAACTTAACAAGAAAGTAAGATGCCAGTAATATATCATGTGCAGCCCCACATCTTTTGCTCTGCTTGCCCCATCCTTGCTTCTTTTCCTTGTATTCTCTGTGGAACTGTGAGCTCTGAGACAGCAACACATACCCTATCTTTACCCTATCTTAGTGGTCAATGCAACCATTCTTGCCCCCCAAGTGGCTTTGTAACAAGTGTAATTCATAAATGACAAACACTGGTGCTACCTGTGTTACTTGCTGAGCTTCAGAGGCAGTAATAAAGCCCAGTGGGACATTTGAGCAGTATCACAGTTAGCGAGTACCTGGAAGTCTGGTGCCATCTGTGCAGTCAGTTCTCTCAGTGGCTTTCATACAACCAAGTTTTATACATTTTGTATTAAAAAAGCTTTGTCACCCCCCTCCTATTTTGAAAAAAAAAAATCCAGAAATGGAATCATTTCACTGGGGCCTAGGACAGCAAAGAGACCCTGTGGTCCTCCAGCCTTTCCCATATACACTGCTTATTCCAGAGTCAGAGCATAACCACCAGTCATTTCTACTTGGCCTACAGACCAAAAGTCTTTTCTATTTAGAGATGATTCACTAAAAAAGAGACCATTTTGATTTAATCTCCTGCACCAGATACTTGGTGCTATACTTAGGGACTCTCTGCACAAGGCTAATAGACATTTGCAGGGTTCCTTGCTTGGGAGGGTAGGAGAAAAGGGAAGGACAACAAGGTAAGAAAAGACCTTTGCAAGCTTGAAAAGCCTCTGGCTGTACTGCCACGCTTTCTTAGACAGGAAATAGTTTGGGAAGGAGAAGGTATGTTCATCCAAGACTCCAGATTTGCTTTTGAGTACATTACAGCCTGTTGCAGTAGATGGCAGCAATGCTATGAGGAAACCTCCAGTTACTCAAGAGAGCCAACATAACCCACTGATGAGCCCAGAACAGTTACATGTTAGAGCATGCAGGAAAAGTACAAAGGTAACACAGGGTACGTACGTTTACAAAGTCCCCTCCTTGAATCATGAAATCCTTTATTACCCTAAGGAAGTAAACCAATACTTAGTTCTCAGTACACAAGTGGCTCAAGAAGCTTAGCATGTGGTAAAAAGGAGTTCTGCCCAGCAGCACAATGAAAACTATCAGGGTCTGTGAATGACACAGTCTAAAATCTACAACAAATATTAACTACTGGTCGCTATCAGGCAATGTGAGACCTGTTGCTGTTCAATCAGCAACAGTAATTACGTGACAGATGCCAAAAAGTTCTGACCACTGATCCTATTGTACACATCTAACAGCAACCCAAGCCCCTCAAAGCTACAGAAGCTGTGACCTACAAATGCCTCCCGGACTAATAATACCTTGAGGGACATCTCAAAGCCACATCTAACTCAAACTGCTATTTTAATGCCTAAATAAAAGCAGACGAATTACCTGTGGAAAGTGCTTCCTTTATAACCTATAGGGACACCATCTTTCCTGCAAGGAAATAAAAAGAAGAATCATTGCAACTTACTGGATCTCCAAACACAAAACCCTCTCAGGAACTGAGAGTCCCAAAGGGTTGCAAACACATTAGTATCTGCCTTGATACACAACCCAGTGCTGCAGCCTGGCTCTGAGCTACTGCAAAGGGAAATCTCAAGTGGGCTGTGCACATTAAGAGACCTGGTTCCCTAAACTTCCACACCGTCATCTTCATGGGATCCCATTGCAATCTGCACAATAAGCAGGTGGGATTTGCAGACAGAGCTTTTTTAGAGCAACCTGAACACAAAGTCATGCCCAAAATGGGAAGGCTGCCATCTCTGTGACTGACCCAGCCCACCACAGTTCCATCAGGTTTCATTTTGTACTCATGTACTAAGAAAAACCTCCAAGTGAGCCTTCTTCCTACTCACCCAGACCTGTTTCTCTACATAGACCACTTAAAAGGACGCTTTACGCCACTTACCTGAATTCACCTGTACAAAATTGCCTGGAAAACAAGAGAGCAGAGTGTGAGAAACGTCTGAACTCTGAGGACAGAGCAGTGCATTCAGCAAATATGCACTGACTGTTGCACAGGACATACAGGGACAGGCCAAGGGGAATGGCTTTAACCTGCCAGAGGGGAGACTGAGCTGAGCTCTTAGGCAGAAGCTCTTCCCTGTGAGGGTGCTGAGGTGCTGGCACAGGGTGCCCAGAGAAGCTGTGGCTGCCCCATCCCTGGCAGTGTTCAAGGCCAGGTTGGACAGAGGGGCTTGGAGCAAGCTGCTCTAGTGGAAGGTGTCCCTGCCTGTGGCAGGGGTTGGAGCTGGATGAGCTTTAAGGTCCCTTCAATTCAAACCAGTCTGGAATTCTATGACTCCCCTTACTGCATCAGGGATATCCCCAGTGAAATGGGAACCAGCAGTAACTTCTCCCCATTTCCTCTTCATGTAAGCTCTCTGTAATTGAGGAGATTGGATATTTAACACCAGGGTTGCCATAGACGGTGGATGTGGAGCAGGCACCATGTCTCACAGCAAACAGGGTATCTCCATCCCTCCCATGGACGTGCAAGCAGCTCACTCTTCACCCAGGGGCAAGGGAACCAGCCGGCGAGGAGACCTCTGCCATGACACTGAGGTACTGCCTTTTCTGAATGCACTGAGCATCAGGAGCTCCATGAAGGAAGCAGAGAGGGACCAGAGCCCTTCAGCTCCTGGCCAGAGGGGCTCCCCTGAGGGATCTGGGTGTTCCATGGTCGCTCCTCTGGGTATGAGGAGAGAAGAGAGATGAGCAAAGTAAGCACAGGCGTTCGTGGCGGGGGGGGGGGGGGGGGGGGGGGAGCGTGGTCCCTCTGCCACCACAGCCATTCCTGCAGCCAAGCCCCTTCCCTGCCCGCTCCGTGCCGAGCCGCAGGAGCACCGCTGCTCCTCACCTGAAGTTCTCCGCCGTTTTGGGGACAACATCAGCAAACAGCTCGATCTTCATGCGGCCAACCTCCTGCGGAGACACGGCCGGGTCAGCGCCTGCATCCCCCCAGCCCTGCCCTGGGACCTCCCACACTTCAACCTCCCAACGCACCAAGGGCCCTGCTCCCCTGCACCCTTCCAACGCACCCCTAGTGATGTAGAGGGCTGACCAACGTACAAGGGGGGGTGTGCAAGAGGGGATAAAGGAATTTTGCCTGTTTAACAGAAAGCATTGTTTGCAAATACCTGTCATGCACTACCAGGACAACAGGCTATTGATAAGGGGGAGAAACAGACTGATAACGGGGAGGCACAGTTCCTTAGTTCCAGTTTAAAGCACACCTCCTTCACAACTGTAACGAGCTGTGGAGTCTATGGGCGCATCACTAGGACCCCACAGGCCCTACGCTCCCCCTCACACCCCCCCCCCCCGTAGTGCTCCCTGACAGCTCCCCCACTCTCCATGCACCCCTGGGTGCTCCCTCCACCCCGTACCTGCCCGCCGATGGTGACATCGAAGAACACCACCGGGTTACCGGGGTTGGACGCCAACAGCGCCATGGCGGCCGCGTCCACCGGAACCGGAAGCGGACCCGGACGTGACGCACTCAAGCGGCGCCGGAAGCGGCGGCGGGGCTCGGCTCTCCCCCCGGCAGGCTGCAGCCGGTATGGCGGTGTGGTGCCGTTGTTGTTGTGGTGTTATCGTGTCTGGTCTTTATGTCGGTCGTTAAACTGCCCTTATCCGAAGCCCAGACTCCTTCATGGGCTTGTCCGTGATCCCCAGAGACCCAGGAGCGGCCCTCGGGGCCCCCCCTTCCCTGCACCAGCTACGGTGCCCTTCTCTGGCCCCGCTCCAGCACCTCAGTGTCTCTCCTGTAGTGAGGGGCCCAGAGCTGAACACAGGATTCGAGGTGCAGCCTCACCAGTGCCCAGTGCAGGGGCACAATCCCTGCCCTGGCCCTGCTGCTGCACTGGTGCTGATCCAGGCCAGGATGATGGGGGCTGCCTGGGCACAAGCTGCTCATGTTCAGCTCCATCAATCAGCACTTCCGGGTCCTTCCCCATGAGCAGTTTCCAGCCACACCTGGAGCGTTGCAGGGGGTTGTTGTGGCCCTTGTTGAACTTCATCCCATTGGCAACATCCCATGGATCCAGCCTGTCCAGGTCCCTCTGCAGAGCTTCCTGCCCTCCAGCAGATCAATGCTCCCACCCAACCTGCTGTCATCTGAGGGTGCCCTCATCCTCTTCATCAATGAAGGTATCAACACTGGCCCTAATACCAAGCCCAGAGGGACACCACTGTCACCAACCCGATGTGACACCATTCACCACCACTCCTTGGGCTCAGCCATGCAGCCACTTTTTCACCCAGTGAACTCTCCACCTCTCCAGGAGAACAACGGCAAATACTTTATTAAGGTCCAAATAGACAACTTCTGCAGCTTTTTCATCTGGACCCCTGCTGGAGCTGCAGGATTTGCTCTCCAATGAATGCCCAGGCTTCTGCCCTGAGGCACTTGTCCCTCCTTTGAGGAGCTCACCGGTGCATCTTCCCCTGTTCACGAGTTCCCAGAGCTGCTCCCCTGCCTCTCGTCCTGCCGCTGGGAGGCTGTGGTGTCTCCAGGCGAAGCTACATTTAAGTACCCGAGCTCAGAAGGCTGACAGGGGGATAAGCAAAAGGCCAAGTCTTGACTTTCGGCTTCTCCTTCAGGCTTTGGGTGTTGTGTGCCCTTCAGGATGCTCAGCGAATCCGGTGGATCTCGTGGTGGGAAGCTGAAAGCAAAGGTCCTCTCTTGAAGACATTGCTTGCATTAAGGCTCCAATGCTCTTCCTCCAGCCAAGGATGGTCCTCATCTACCCCAGAACCTGCTCAGATGCTGTCCCCCTCAATAGCAGCCAAACCCACTGTGCTGGATCTCCAGTGAGCAGAGATCAGAGCTGCAGATCCCCTCTGCCTTCCCCCTGCCTGTTTTGGCACGGATCGTGGTGCTCGTGGCTATATCAGTGGAGAAATAACTCAAGTTCCTTCCTGCCCCAAAGCCTGGGAATGGGTCATACAGCTTTGAGCAGTGGTCCTCTAAGTCTCATAACCTCCTGTGTAAAGACACTCCTCCAAAACCAGGCACCAAAAGCTGACCTCTAAACCCCACAGCATTCCCTGACAGAGCTGAAGATTTTCCTTCTCCGTCCCTTTCATTTCAGAGCCTTTTAAAAACCATTTTTCCCTGTATTTTGACCAATAAAGAAGAAACCCAACCCGCCTTGGAGGTGAAAGCCCAGGGTGGAGCAGCCAAAACGCTCAGCTCCTCCCTCACCACATGCAGAAGCATTCCCTGCCTCCTCCTTTTACTCCACAGTACCTGGCATGGGGAGATGGCAACACCTTGCCCTGTAGACGGCGGTCAGAGGAGGTGATGCTCTTCAAGTCCTGGAAGGAAGAACAGAGACAGGAGGATGTGCATGTCAGACCCCGAATTCCAATATACAGTCCTGGTCTTCAGCGTGCCCTTGGCTCCACTGACAGCCCTCCCAATGAGCTCCAGCCCTACAGAGGTACTTTGATTAGGATTTGGCCTTTGGGTCTGAATCTAAGCTGATGGAGTGGTACAACAGCTTGCAGCTCCTCACCAACAAAGCCGCTGCTGTCTGCTGTGTTTGGTGCCCCTTTGCATTCCAGGCAAAGCCTCAGCCCTTCTGCTGCAGCTACAAACACCAACTCGCAAGGAGACATCAGCTCCCACACCCTGCCTGCTGAGTGCAAGCCCTCTCGGAGTCTCACCTCCGTGTTGGAAGCGTGGATGCTCCCTGGTGCGCGCTGCGAGGTGGGCACGTGGCCAGAGAGCTGGAGCTTGCCCTCGTGCAGCCGCATGAGCTCCTCATCCAGGATCTTCACTCTGAGCACATCACACACACAAGGCACAGGTTATTTTCCTTCCGACCACACAGCCTTTACAAAGGGGCATTTGCTTTTTCAACCACAGACCCTTTGGCCTGCACAACCTTCACTTGTACACCAGGGGCTTGGATGGGGAGAGGAGCTCATTACATCCCATAGCAATTAAAAGCTGTGCACCAGTGACTGGGGCACAGTTCAGGCTTTCCCTTGGATTTCTTAAAAGAAAGAGGCATACAACCAGAGGAGCGCTGGGAAAAGGCAGGCTCCCGGAGGTGTGGACATCATTAAGCACCCACCTGCTCTGCAGGGTGGCAATCATGGAGCGGTTGCTCCACAGGGTCTCCTCTTGGTCAGTGATCTTCTGCAGGAGCCGTCGTCTTTCCTGCAGGAATTTCTCATTCTCAGCAGTGATCTGAGCAACCAGCATCTTCCCCTAAGCAGAGCAGCAGAGGGAAACAACCACCAGTGGTTATGCTTTGCTCTCCCCCTGTCCTCTGCAGACCTTGGAGTACTTTATTGAAGGGGTCACCATCACGTGTGTTAACTCCTACAGGTTCACACCTCAAATCCTGTGTTCAGCTCTGGGCCCCTCACTACAAGAGAGACATTGAGGTGCTGGAGGGGGGCCAGAGAAGGGCAGCGGAGCTGGTGCAGGGCCTGGAGCACAAGTGTGATGGGGAAGGGCTGAGGGACCTGGGGGGTTCAGTGTGGAGAAGAGAAGGCTCAGGGGGGACCTGATGGCTCCCTACAAGTGCCTGACAGGAGGATGGAGCCAGGAGGGGCTGGGCTCTGCTCCCGAGGAACAAGGGATGGGACAAGAGGAACCGGCCTCAAGCTGCACCAGGGCAGGTTTAGATGGAGCTGAGGAACAATTCCTGCCCCAGAGGGTGCTCAGGCATTGGAACAGGCTGCCCAGGGCAGGGCTGCAGTCACCGTCCCTGCAAGTGTTCACACACCCTCAGTGCCATGGGGCAGTGGTGGCCTTGGCAGTGCTGGGAACGGTTGGACTTGGATGAGCTTAAAGCTCTTTTCCAACCTGGTTCATTCTATGATTCTAAGTGAGACACTACTTGATGTAACATATGCCAAAAGGAGGCTATTGGGTCCTCTCCCAAAATAAGATGTGGCTTGGGCAGTTTCTGAATGGGATTTGAGGACACAGGGTTCCCATGAGGGCAAACTTGGGCCAGGAATTTCCTTGGGGTCTTTTGTTCCAGCCAGGACGGGCTGGTGCCCCTTGGCACTGCTGGCTGTGGTTGTGCTCCAACCACCCACTTGGTTAACAGAGCATCCCCATTGCCTGCAAACCCACTGCTCCTAAACCTCATCTCCTTTCTTCTTCAGCTGCCCTTCCTTTTGGGGGGGAAGCCCTCGATGCGTTCTCTCACCTTTTCCACTTGGAGCTTTGACTCGCTGAGCTCATTTTCAAGCTGCTTGATCCTGCTGTCCCTTTGTTTCACCTCGTGGATAAAGGTCTCCTTGGCCCTGCGGATCTTGGCTTTGTGGCGGAGCTGCGTTTCGTTGTATTTCCTGCAGAGGCAGAGACACAAGCTTCAGGCTGTCAAAGGCTTTCATGCCCTTGGGCCAGGATCAAGATGTCCTGCATTGATTGAGGCTCTTCCAAGCCTGCACTGGGAGCCTCAGCCATCTCCCAGCTCCATTTGGCAGAGCAGCTGAAGGCAGAACGAGCACACTGACTGACTGGACCGTGTCTTCCACTGATCGGTTTGGGGTTGGTTTTCCCTTTGTTGCAATGGTTACATTAAGTGCCAACCAAATTGAAACCGGGCAAAAAGGACCCAGAGCATTCCCAAACCGACACCCTGTTATCCCACAAGAAATCCTTGCACCTGCCCCTCCCAGCTCATCAAACCAAACAGGGTTATAAAGTATTGGAAGTAACAGGGAAAAGGCAAGCTGTTCGTTCGGATGGGGATGTGGGTGGTTAAGGGGAATTACTGATGTACAGGGGGAAAAGGCCAGAAAAGAAGAATCCCAAACAGGAGAAAGCTGCTTCAGTAGGAGCTTCTCAAAGCTGGACACTGGGGTTAAATATTTGTCTTTACTGAGATTTGTGATTGTTGCTCTCCCCCCTGCCTTGTCCCATTTAGGCAGTGTTATTGTCTCATTTATCCACTCAGGAGAGAAGAGCAGATAAAGTCCAAACAAAGAGAACTCTCCACCATAAAGGGATATTTGCCTACGTTGGCTCAGAACTCATGGCAAAAGGGCCGGGGTCCTTTGGGTTAGATCAGAAGTGCTCTGGGGAGAAAGGAGCAGCTCCAGGGAGCATCTCTGCCAGTGGCAGCCCTGAGCAGCAGCACCCATAGCCCTAATGAGGTCCCAGCTCGTGTTCTGCACTGTCTGCAGCTGCAGACGCAGGGCTGCTGGGTTTAGTACTAAATGCCTTGACCAGGAGAGACAAGAGAGGCTGCAGAACCCTCAGTGCAGTGCCACTGCCAGGCACACAAAGAGCCAGTCCCAGGGAGGTGCTTTGTGCCTGCTGCTGCAGTCATTACCTGACACACAGATCCTTCTGGCTCAGGATCCGGACTCCTTCCTCATAAAGGGCTTTGTTTTCCTCCTTCAGCAGAGCAAGCTGCTCTGAAAGCTTCTGGTTCTCCTTCTGGCACTGGAGGTGCTGGAAAACATTGTTTGTGTGTTTGCTTGGATTAGCCCAAACCTATTGCATCAGTTTCCAGGTGCAGATTCCACACTGGGATACTCCCATTTCCCCCCTTGGAGCTTGGTGGTCTGCTCTGGAGTCACCACAGCATCCCCTTGGGTGATGAGGACCCATCCACGTTGCGGCTCACCTCGCTCGAGTCGGTTTTCCTCTCGCTGTCCAGGACGTGCAGAGTCTTGGCCTGCAGCTCCACGTGCATCTTGGCCAGCGATGCCTCCGTCTCCCGGGAATGCCGGAGCTGTTGCTGCAGCATCTCCACCTGCTGCTCCGGGAGCTTCCTGAAAGGATGTGGGTGAGACACTGATGTGAGGGCGGCCCGTGATGTGCCAACCTTAATGCAGCATCACGCTGCCCTGGGCAACACCAAGGGAAGGAAGAAATCAGTCCATCCTGGCTGTCCCCATGTCCCGGGGGTGCATGGGTGCGTGATCTGCTGTAGTGGAAGGTGTTGGGGTCGGAACTGGATGAGCTTTAAGGTCACTTCCAACCCAAACCATTCCATCACTGTATGTATGTGGGATCATCAGTCCCAGCTGCACAAGAAAGGGGACCGCTGGCATCCAGCGGATAAACCAAATCCCTGGGCTGGCAGGAAGGGCCATGCACCCTCTGAGGCAGCTGAAGTCTTTTAGATCCCCTGTGGAGCTCTGACAGGTCAAAAGGAGAGATTGGGGGTAAAACAAGCGATGCAGTGACTCCTTGAACCCACCTAGGACCAGCCATGGGGCTGCAGGAGGTATCTGCAGGCCGGCACAGCAGCGCTTGGTGGCACGCACCTCCCCTGCACGCACAGCACGGGGCTCACCCAGCTCCAGGTACCTTTTCAGCTGCTCCTCATGAAGTTCTTGCTGCACACGAGCTTCATTTTCTCGGGCCTCCTTCAGTTCCTCCTCCAGGAGTTTCTTGTCTGACACATGGGCCTCTGCCAGCAGGAGCTGGTGCTGGGACTCCTTCAGCTTTTGCTGGAGTTTTGAGATCTTGGATTAAAATTGGACATGGATTAAACCTATTGAATGTATTGGCCGGTATCTGAATCCAAAGGATTTAAGATCCCTCTGATCCCACAGCACGAGAATCATGGGAATGACAGATTTAGCTTGCTTCTATTCAAAAGGAAGCACACACAGGACTTGGAGCATCCTGGTTGAGTGGAAGGTGTCCCTGCCTGTGACAGGGGGTTGGGACTGGATGAGCTTTAAGGTCCCTTTAACCCAAATCACTCCATGATTGTGTCTTTATATCAAAGCCCGTTGAAAACAAAGCCTTTTGAACAGCTGCCAGATTTTGGCTCAGACACTGTGTCATGAATTGGCAACAACCCGTTTTGCACCTGATTTGATCCTGCACACATCCAGTGATTAATGCAGGAACATGGCAGAATCGATGCCATGGAAATCACAAGCTTTGCCATTTCACTTGCAGCACTGTGTGCAGTTCTGGTGTCCCTAACATAAAAAGGACATGGAGCTGCTGGAACAAGTCCAGAGGAGGCCATGAGGATGCTCAGGGGCTGGAGCACCTCCTGTATGGAGACAGGCTGAGAAAGTTGGGGCTGTTCAACCTGGAGAAGAGAAGCTGCGTGGAGACCTCAGAGCAGCTTCCAGTGTCTGAAGGGGGGCTATAGGGATGCTGGGGAGGGACTCTTCATTAGGGACTATAGTGACAAGACAAAGGGTAACGGGTTCAAACTTAAATGGGGGAAGTTTAGATTGGATATAAGGAAGAAGTTCTTTATTGTGAGGGTGCTGAGGCACTGGAATGGGTTGCCCAGGGAAGCTGTGAATGCTCCATCCCTGGCAGTGTTCAAGGTTGGACAGAGCCTTGGGTGCCATGGTTTAGTGTGAGATGTCCCTGCCCATGGCAGGGGGTTGGAACTGGATGATCTTAAGGTCCTTTCCAACCCTAACTACTCTACGATTCTATGATTTCCAGATAGCAAACAGCATCAAATCTCCTCCCCAGGAGCATGCCCTGGAATCCCTGCGCCTGCCAGCCCTGCGACCACTATTTCCAGAGACAGTGAGCTTTAGAGATGGGAGCTGAGCCCTCAGATTGGGATTCTATTGCCTTCAGTACGGTCCCACTAATAACAGCCATATTTCCTAATACATTTAACCAAGCAATCTCAAAAGGGACCAGCAAAATGGACTTCAGGGAACCAGTTCAGGAGCTGCTGCTGCTTCTGCGCCGTGTTAAACCCAACCCTCCTGATAACCCAGCTGAGGAGGTACCTTCTTCTGTGCTTCGCACACGTTGGATTTCTCCTGTGCAAGCTTCTCTTGCAGCCTGCTCTGCAGTTTGTCAGCCTGGGAGCACTTCAGGAGCTCTTGTTCGAGTTCTTTGACCTTCTGCTGGCTTTTTTCCCACTGTGCGGTGAGAGCGGAGCATGTTTCTGTTGTGTCCAAGAGTTTTGCCCGGGCTTGCTTCAGCTCGGCTTTGACCTGAGTTTCAAAAGAAGAAACCAAGTTTGCACTTCAATATAGCTCTTGTGAAACGCCTTGATTAGGAAAGGGGCAGCAGGATTAGCAGAGAGTGAAAGAGAATAAAAGAGAAATGCAGGCAGCAAGCACAAGGCTTTATTTGGAGGGAATCTGGCATGGAGCTGGAGCAGAACACACTTGAGAATGCAGGTACTATACAGGTATAAATGAGGTGCAGTGCGTTGCAACCAGCACTTCATCCCTCCCATAGCTTGTAGGATGCTGTGATGCTCCCCCCCCCAGCAGCTCTCCCTGCTCTGTCCCTACCTTGGTGCATTCCTGTTGGAGCAAGAGGTTTTGCTTCTGGAAGTCGATGTTCTTCTCCCTCTCGTACCTCAGCTCCCTCTCGGCTGAGCTGCACAAGTTCTGAACCCGGCGCAGGTCCTGCTGGAGCTGCTGCAGCTTCTCCTCCTGCTGCTGGAAGCTCTCCTGGGTCAGAGCCTGCAGGAGCAGCAGAACGACAGAAGTGGCACAGACATTAACCTCAAGGAGAGATAGGGACTGGCTGCGTGGAGACCTCAGAGCAGCTTCCAGTATCTGAAGGGGGCCTATAGGGATGCTGGGGAGGGACTCTTCATTAGGGACTGTACTGATAGGACAAGGGGTAATGGGTTAAAACTGAAACAGGGGAAGTTTAGATTGGATCTAAGGAGGAAATTCTTTACTGTAAGGGTGCTGAGGCACTGGAATGGGTTGCCCAGGGAGGTTGTGAATGCTCCATCCCTGGCGGTGTTCAAGGCCAGGATGGACAGAGCCTTGGGTGCCATGGTTTAGTGTGAGGTGTCCCTGCCCAAGGCAGGGGGCTTGGAACTGGATGATCTTAAGGTCCTTTCCAACCCTGACTGCTCTATGATTCTATGAAGGAAGGTAGAAGTCTGGCAGTCGGGTGTAGGAGCATTTCAGTAAGATGGGTAAAACCAGGCAAGCATCTCTTCTGCCCCATGCTGTGTCCTGCTCCCTGCCCTCTCCATCCAGAGAAGCCAATACAACTCTTGAAATCAAGGGAGAAGGTGTAATAACCTGGATGAGGGAACAACTGTTAAAGCTACCTTTCAAACCTGTAAGGCACCCAGGTTACTCTTCACTCTTGTGCCAGAGCCTCACTAAGCTCCAAGAGCAGCAGGATGAGTTCAAGCACTGGAGTGTAAGAGCAGAAAGCCCCAAGGAGGAGCAGGGAATAGGAACAGCTTCTGCCCACAGCAAGAGCAAGACTGCAGTGAGAACAGCAAGTGGATTTCTCCCACTCCAAAAAGGGGCTGAGAAAGAGCTCCAAAAGGTTTAAAACATCCTTTAAGGATAACATCCTTCTTCCATATCTACATTTAGTTTATCCAAGTTCCCACTACATCCAAAAACACAACAGATGGAAATGACAGCATTCTTACTTTCCAAACATTTTCCCCAAGGAAATCAGCCAGCCTCATCTCCCCCCATGTGCTGACACCACAGGGCTGGCTTCCAGGCCACTTTAATCAGGTTTTGCCACTGAATTCAGTGACATAAAAGTACAGTGCAGATAGCAAGGCTGCTCATACCTGTTTAACGCTCCCATCTGAACTGCCTGCAGAGCTCTGCGACACGGGAAACCTCTTCCCTCCCTGTGCCAAGCCTTGATTCATCCTCAGGGTCTCTCCAAGCACGCTGTCGCCCTGCTCCTGGGTAGCCAGAACACCTTGGTTTAGCTGGGCAAGCTCTTCCAGGATCAACCGCTTGTCTTCATTGCTCTCTTTCAGCTGCTTTTCTAGCTCCTCCCTCTTCTTGTTGCTGCCTGGTAACTCAGGACTTGAAGGAGAAATAGTAGAGAGAACTGTGCACATCCAAGGGAAACCACCCCCCGAAGAGGAAAACTTGGAACAAGAGAGCCCAGTGAAACACCCAGGGCAATGTTCAAGTGTCTTGGGAGGCTCCAAAGGGGATTTAATCCTAACAGCGCTGGGCAAGGGTCAATCTCCCCCGGATACTGACACACAAACCCCCCTGGGTCCAAGGGTCAGCTATGAGGAGCTTAACTGCTGGCTAAGGAGCCGCTCGCATGGGCCCCATGGGCTGGTCTGTGCTCATAGGGGCAGGGAAGCACAGCATGGACTCAAGCTGCCTGATGTATCCCAATCCAGACTCTATGTCCTTGTAAGCTAACCTACCTGTCTTATCCTGGTTTTACCTTATCTCACTATCCAGGTAATGGAGCTGACAGTAACTACATGGATTTGAGCCAGGCTTCTACTTAGTAAGGAGAGTCTGAGCATGGATGCTTCAGCTCCAGATTTGTACTGATCTATTGAACAAGGAGAGTCAGGAGACCTGCAAGAGCTTTATTTACAGCCCTGATGCCTGCTGACACCCGTCCTCCAAGGGCAACAGCAGGATGGGTATGGTCAGCTGCTGGCAGCAGTTAGCCCCAAGCAGCCCAAGTCCATGATGGGAGCTTTTTGGGACTGTGGTAGTCCAAATATTCCCTCACTCCAAGAGAAGGGGCCTCCTCCCTAAGGACAGCTCATTTATACCCTGCAGAATGTGGAAGAGCTGCAGAAAACAAGGGTTACTCCTGACTTTGACAGGTGAGATGTCCCTTCCAACCCTAACTATGCTGTGATGGATGCTCATTCCCCAAAGCCTCTACAGAGAGACCATTACCCAGTGAGGAAGACACAAAGCTGCTGTGCCCATTTTAGCCAGAAGCAGCCGAATGGGGGGTTTTCAAAGACTAAACAATTCGTCAGCAAAGATGAAGAGCAGAAGGTACCAGAGGCCTGGTTAGGGTTTACCAGAGCAGTTCTTGTTCATCCCTTGAGTTCTTGATCTGGTCTTCAGGTCTCTTTTCATCTGTACATAGATGTTCATGTGTCTGCTCGAGGTTTTCAATCTGTTCTCTTTCTTGTAGGAGTCCAGAGACCTGTAAGGTCAGAGAACACCATGACTTGGACTTTCCTTGCTCTCATGGAAAGCTTTTGAGCAGCATAAGGTGATCTCCAAGACACAGCTTGTGAGTCTGTAGCTAAGTTAGTGTAGTTCTTCACCTGCAATGCCTTTGATTCCTAAAGCTTTTCCATCAATAGCTCTTCCTGAGTGTACACTAGCACTAATATTTCAGTTCCAGACCATGAGTTTACTTGTATTTGAGCAATGTCCATCAGCAGCTTCTGTCTGCATCAGACACCGGCTCAACAGGGTGTTCTTTACATTTCTCAGCTCTGTATCTAACAAAGCATTCTCCTTTTGTAGCTTCTCATGGGATACATTAATGGGATCCCTGCTTTGGAGACTGGGAAGTTATTACAATAGCTTGTAAACTCTGACAACCAACCCCCTGGTGAGGAAACAACAGGAGTTAATGGATGCAATACACCCCTAAGTGGGAGGAAAAGCTTTCTCCCCTCAAATGTCCAAAAACCCGTTAAAAACAAGAGGGTTCCAAGCACATGCAAAGAGCTCTCTGCATAGCATCAGTTCGAAGCACACCATTAACCTGTACAAGAGCAAATACATTATCCCATTTACTCCCCATTAAGTGTCAAGCATCCCGACAAACACAACATTGAACAACCTCACAGCTTGACCTGCAGGAGTGCATCCCCCGATTTGCAGCTCTGTTGGTAAATGATTCATCCCAGTACAGCTGTTCTATCAAAAGGGAATGGACAGGCATGGCACCAAGCACATGCACAGTCCTCTCTGTTAAAGACTGTTACAGTCTAACACAGGCCACTGGGTTTCATCTCATGATCCCTGGAAAACAATAGTCCTCTCCTTAGGTGAAACCACAACCAACTGGTGCCTGAATCAGAACCAGATTTATGGGGATGTCTGATTTTGATTAAAAGGCCCCTGGACCACGAGTAGATTGAACTGTTCGGATGCAAATGCTGAAGAGGGACTCTTCCATTTTCCCCATCCCTCCCCAAATCAGCAGTTCCTTTTCATGTGCGTATTCGCAGACTGATCCAGCCCCTTCCCCAACCACCCTTCGGCAAGGCTCGGTCCACATCCTAAGCTTTTACAGGGTGAATTTGTTGCCTACCAGCACTACAAGAGTCCTGTCCTCTAGATGCCACTGTTCCTCCAGTCAGACTCCTGTGCAGCAGCACCAACAGCCCAGGACTTCATTGGGTTCTACTTGCATACAAGGAAGTGATCCGGCTCACAGCTGGTTTAAGGCCTCTCAGAGTGCTAAAAAGTGGGGTTTATAATAGGTGTAACCCCCCTCCCTTTGCCAGCCCCCTCAGGTCCCCCTTGTCTGCCTGTCCCAGGCCACGCATCTGCAGCTCTCCTGTATTTTAACCCTAATTTTAAGCCCTGAGCCTGCCTTTGCCTGCACCAGCCCCTGTGCAATGCTCTTGGCACCACACGCTCTCCCCTCTATGGCCCAACTGGAGCTCAAGAGCGTCAGCAACAACCCCAGCAGAGAGAAACCCAGCAGAAATCCATGCAGCAGTTCCACTGCTTCAAGCAAAGCGTGTCTTTAGGGCATACAACAAAAAGGAGCACCAGGATCTCGAGCTGTTCACATAGACTTCAGTGATGCTTTGGTGTCCTCGCTTCTTGCCGTGCTTTTAAGAAAGAATACTACTAATATTAAAGGTGACCCGTGTTAAACAGATTCAGAATTAGGCAGTGGATGAAGCTCATCAATGGTAACCATGCTGCTGCTCTGCAGGGAAGTCTTGGCTTCAGTCTCCAAGCGCCCTGCTGTGTTGTGACACAGGGAGATGAAGGCTCCTGATCACGAGCCTTATGATCACAAGTTACTCTGCAATAAATACCTAAGTCTGAAACCTTCCCCTCTGCCCTTTAGAGAAGGTTTGGCTGCATCTCAATTAGTGTTTTGTTATTAGAGTCACTGAAAGGAAAAATGAGTTAGAGACTCTTTCATTAAAGCAGATGGATTTAAAGCTACCTGCCAAGGAATCATAGAATGGTTTGGGTTGGAGAGGACATTAAGATCATCCAGTTCCAACCCCCTGCCACAGGCAGGGAAAGGAGCTTTGAAACTGGCTGGACAAGGGAAATCCATCCAGCAAAGTCAAACAATGCACCTGGGGGCAATTGGGGGTGCTTCATGGAGCCACCCAAAGGTGACAGCCTCCTGCAGCAGTCCCAGTGCCGGAGCCGGACCTACCTGGCTGCCCAGCACCTTCTTCTCAGCCTTCAGATCTTCTCGTAAGAGTTCCAGTTCAGATGCAAGCTGCTTCCTCCGTTCTCTCCGCTCTCCCAGCTGATTTCCCAGTTTTTCTATTGTTTCCTGACAGCTTTTCAACATCTGGAACAAGAAAAAGGAGGTGTGACTTCTTTATTCTAGCAGAAGACAAACAAATCACGGTCTTCTGCAAAGCAAGGGCAGGAAAAACGGCTCTCAAAAGTTGCCAGCAGGATTCCTGTATTTTATTCCTCAGACATCCCTGAAGACCTGGATACCTGACCCAGGATACCTTGGGGAGCTCCTCTTGTATATGCAGTAAGCTCTGCCTGGCAGATCCAATTGATCGGGTGGCAAGGAACGAATCAGCAGCAAAGTCAGCCCCAAACCAACTGGGAAACAGCCTCATAAACACACCTATGTGCTACCCAGGCTGCAAGAACCAAGCACCTTTACCCATTAACCCTCCCCAGGGAAGCCAACAAGCTCCTCAGCCTGCAGAGCTGAAGGCAAGACGATCCCCTAAGACAGATAAGTTATCAGAGATCACGTTAGCGTGTTAAGCTGCTTTCCTCCAAAAACACCCATTTCTCCTGCATGAGCTGATGGGCACCAAGCCCTCAGAAAGTGGAGACAAAGAACATTCACAAGAGATGCGCATTTAATGCATTTCTAAACAAAACTGTGTATTTCCCAAGGAAAACCTCTTACCTCTTGCATCTCTTGCGCTCCAGACAACACCTGCTCATCCCCATTCATCTCAGCTTTGTTCTTCTGCACTTGAAGTAACTCTGCTTCTAAACTTATAACCTTAACATAGAGAAAACACAAGCTAAAACCAAACCAGCACTAAATGCACAACTACTGCTAGGTTGCTGCTTGTGCTGTATTGCAGAGTAAGCCCCATGTTTGGAAGCAAAGGGTGGGAGATGTGGACAGGCATCAGCTCCAGCTCACATCTTTCATCCTGCTGCTTCAAAAGGTGAGGGAGCCAGCAAGGCCAAGTCAGAAAATGAAAGCACCCTGCTATATAGGAGGAGAGGAACAACCCAGACACATGGTGAAAGCTCAAGGCCTCTGTAGCTTGTGGCTGCTCTCCCAACACACAAGATCCTGATCTATATCATGGGCTACCCTCCTTCCCCATGCTGTTGCAGTGCCCACTCCCCCACAGTTTGACCTGATCCACCAGGATTATCCTGGTCCCTCCATTGCCCAAAGGGTGCTGTAGGTCCCTCTATCACCCAAAGGATGCTGTAGGTCCCTCTATCACCCAAAGGATGCTGTAGATCCCTGCATCACCCAAAGGATGCTGTAGGTCCCTCTATCACCCAAAGGATGCTGTAGGTCCCTCCATCACCCAAAGGATGCTGTAGGTCCCTCCATCGCCCAAAGGATGCTGTAGGTCCCTCCATCACCCAAAGGATGCTGTAGGTCCCTCCATCTCCCAAAGGATGCTGTAGGTCCCTCTATCACCCAAAGGATGCTGTAGGTCCCTCTATCACCCAAAGGATGCTGTAGGTCTGTCCCTCTATCACCCAAAGGATGCTGTAGGTCCCTCCATCGCCCAAAGGATGCTGTAGGTCCCTCCATCGCCCAAAGGATGCTGTAGGTCCCTCCATCGCCCAAAGGATGCTGTAGGTCCCTCCATCGCCCAAAGGATGCTGTAGGTCCCTCCATCACCCAAAGGATGCTGTAGGTCCCTCTATCACCCAAAGGATGCTGTAGATCCCTCCATCACCCAAAGGATGCTGTAGGTCTGTCCCTCTATCACCCAAAGGATGCTGTAGGTCCCTCCATCGCCCAAAGGATGCTGTAGGTCCCTCTATCACCCAAAGGATGCTGTAGGTCTGTCCCTCTATCACCCAAAGGATGCTGTAGGCCCCTCTATCACCCAAAGGATGCTGTAGATCCCTCCATCACCCAAAGGATGCTGTAGGTCCCTCTATCGCCCAAAGGATGCTGTAGGTCCCTCCATCGCCCAAAGGATGCTGTAGGTCCCTCCATCGCCCAAAGGATGCTGTAGGTCCCTCCATCACCCAAAGGATGCTGTAGGTCTGTCCCTCTATCGCCCAAAGGATGCTGTAGGTCTCCCCCTCCATCGCCCAGAGGATGCTGTAGGTCTGTCCCTCTATCACCCAAAGGATGCTGTAGGCCCCTCTATCGCCCAAAGGATGCTGTAGGTCCCTCCATCGCCCAAAGGATGCTGTAGGTCTGTCCCTCTATCACCCAAAGGATGCTGCAGGTCCCTCCATCACCCAAAGGATGCTGTAGGTCCCTCCATCGCCCAAAGGATGCTGTAGGTCTGTCCCTCTATTGCCCAAAGGATGCTGTAGGTCCCTCCATTGCCCAAAGGATGCTGTAGGTCTCTCCCTCCATCGCCCAGAGGATGCTGTAGGTCTGTCCCTCTATCACCCAAAGGATGCTGTAGGTCCCTCTATCGCCCAAAGGATGCTGTAGGTCCCTCCATCGCCCAAAGGATGCTGTAGGTCTGTCCCTCTATCACCCAAAGGATGCTGCAGGTCCCTCCATCGCCCAAAGGATGCTGTAGGTCACTCTATCACCCAAAGGATGCTGTAGGCCCCTCCATTGCCCAAAGAATGCTGTAGGTCTGTCCCTCCATTGCCCAGAGGATGCTGTGGGTCCCTCCAGCAAGGCTCCGAGGACTCTGCACTTGAGCTGGCCAAGCTCTGACCTCTGTGCTTATCCTGGCAGGCAAGAATCTGTCTGGACCAGGGCTCACCCTGCATCTGAACCCACACCACCCCCCTGCCAGGCATTCCCTTGTGGATTATTACTCTGTTTCAAAGGGCTGGAAGGAGCAAGGAGCAGCCCAGCTCCCCCTCCCCGCCAGGCCTCCTGCAGACCCTTTTACAAGACCCGAGTGTTGGCACTGGCAGCTCCAGTGTCAGCCAGCACGGCATTCCACAGCCTTTCCTTTCTGCTCCTTATGTTGGGAAGAAAGTTTGTGCTGGCTTTCTTGTGTGTAAACCACCCAGCTGGGATTTCACTGGAGGAGGATGGGGATGCTGGAAGGAGACAAAATCCAGCTGGAGATGGAATCCAGCTTCATCCGTGCATAGCACACTGGACCTATACAAGCAGCATCGATCACTGCACTCACACAGATGAGTGTGTGATGAAGCGTGCAAGATGCCTTATGCCTTCCTCACCCTCCTTTCTTTGCACGTAGTCGGAGATCATCTTTCATCCCTTCCCAATGGGAAGCTGAAGCTGAGGAAGTGCCAAATCCCTGCCAATCCCAGCCCGATTCCAGCGGTCCCAGCGCAGCGATTCCAAAGCCCGGGAGCTTTGCTTTCACTGACAGGCTTCAGGCACAAGATGGCTCTGTTGAAACTCACAGGAGGGAACCATCCAACACTGGGAAAGCTGCTCTCACTCTTAGGCAGATGCTGTTACCCAAGCTAGGTCCTAAAAGCAAATCAGCGGGTGAAACACCCAGACCTCTTATAGAAGAGCCAGAGGGCAATAACCCCCCTCCTCTCGCATGCCTAGGTGATAGTTTGGGGTTCAGCAAGGCTTGGGAGCTCTAGAAGGGCTCTCGAAGGCAAAATGCACCTCCTCAGGCACCCTTTGGCCATTCGTTCCCATCATTTGGCTCATTATTCCTCCAAGGCACTAACTTTTAAGTATTTAAGCTGCCTTTAAGTCTCCTGCCAACAGCCGAACAATGCTCCCATTGTATCCCGTGTCCTGGTTCTGAATCAGTGGCCTCATCACCCACATTCTTGTAGGTGTGCCAGCAAAACAGAAACCACTTCCAAGTGCTTCTCCCATGGGGGGGAGCTGGCAAGAACCCAGCGGCACCGCTTCCTCTGCGCTTCTGAGCCCCTGCATCCATGCAGTCCTGCCCTCCTTACCCCCAGGGCACCCAAAAGCCCCTTGGAGATGAAGGGTGCAGCTCCGCATCATCACCAAGGGTTAACCCACCTCCTCTTCCATCCCACTCCCTGCTTGCTTCCTTCTGTTACCTTTAGAGCTACAGAGGCTGCCAAGCCCCTGCCAGCATCTCCTTGACTACTTGGGGCTCCCCACTGCATCCTCCAATGTGGTGTTCCCAGGGATCTGTTTAACAATGCCCGGAGCAAAGAAGGGATTTCTCCAGGCTTGAAATGCACCTTGGGAGGGTTGGGGTTATTCTGCTTCAAGGCTTTAGTGTGTGCTGAACCAACCTGGGTTTCAACTAAAGCACAAGTCCTGGTGGACAGAGCTTTGGCTGTTCCCATCGCAGAGCCTGCCCTTGGCTCCTCTGCTACACACTTAGAAGCAGGATATCTAGTGGCATCCGTCATTAAGGTATTTGGCTGTGCCTTCACCCTGTTTCACTGTTATTTAGAGACTGACAGGGAATTCATGGCATCTTCCTCTGAGCAATTGATCTTGGAGGCACATGGCTGTGTCAGCGTTCACATGGGACGTGCCTTCACACTTGTACTGCCTCCTACATCATGTTTTAACACAATAGCAGAGGTACAGACACGTCCGAGTACTGCTCATCCCTGACCAACAACCTGTGTGTGTCCTTCCTTCTCACCCCCAGAATCCAAGGTCCTCTGTGGGCACTACGGACTGCTCCTGCTGCCTGGCAATCCAGGACCAGGACCACTGCAGAGAGCATCTCCTAGCCACAAACAGAGTGGAGACAACTCAGCCCGAGGAAGGAAGGAAGAGCTTTAGGCCTGGCAGCAGGGATTCAGCCGAAGGGAAGGACCTCCTCAGCCAGCCTTTTTGGGGAGCAGCCCACCCATCCATCCAGCAAGACCAACTTCTGGCTTCCTCTGTTCTCTCCAGCTCCAACTGCATCCACTGCCCTGTCTGGAAGGGGTCACGCACCCTGGTAGTGATGCTGCAAATGGTGTTTTCCCTGGGGACAAGCAGTGACAAACCAGCCCATAGCTGCAGGTGCTCCTCCCAGAGCTACCTCCTCACTAGACTGAGGCTAAAGACCATGCTGGCAAAGGCAGCATCAGGCTGAGAAGCTCCAGTGATAACTTAATCCTTGCTCAAAGCATGGATGGAGGTGGCCCTGCAGGTGCTGTAAGGAGACATCTAAAGGGCCATGGCTCTGGTAAACCAGAGAATCAACCTGGAGCTTCCCATCTGCCTTTAACCAGAGGTTCCCTGGCACGTGCAAACGAGTGCAAATAACAAAGGCTTTCTATCAACCTCCTAAAGTCAAAGGAGGATCTGAGCGGAGTTGTCCTATCACCAGGAATAGATCCAGATTGCCCTGGGGTGAGGTGCCCAAAATCAAGTGGGTCACGGTGATATTAATTAGATGTGTTTGATTTGCCTTTCCAGACTTGGATTGCTCTGGAGATTGCTAAGCATTTTTCCAATTTGATATGGAATTTTCCCTGGCTTGGATTCCTCCTTCTGTCTGTCGTGTGTTAGGGTTTGACAGCAGCTCTTTAAGGATGTCTGATGCCTAAGGCAGAGGATCCTTTAAGGCAGTGTGTACATGTATAATTTATTTATTTGAAATCTGTCAGATCAGAAAATGGGGCTGCAGCTCCCATTGTCTGGTAACTCTTAGTGAATTTAATTAGATAAAGCAATGAAAACGGTTGAATTGTAGGAGAGAGATTTAAAACCGCCACATTTTACTCTCATAATGACATCCCTCAAGCTGGGCATGGGGAGGTTTAATCTGGGTATTAGGAAAAATCTCTTCACCAAAAGGTGATCAGGCATTGGGACAGGTGGCCCAGGGAAGCGGTGGAATCAGTGTCCCTGGAAGTGTTTAAAAACCATTGAGATGAGGTCTTTAATGACATGGCTTAGTGATGGTTTTGGCAGTCCTGGGGTAATGGTTGGACTTGATGATCCTAAAGGTCTTTTCCAACCTGGTTAATTCTACAGCTCTACAATATGCAGAGAGAAAAGCAGCTGGAATGAAACAAACCCAAACCTTCCTCCTTCCACTCTTTACTTACTTGCTGTTGAAGTCCCTCCACCGCACTCTCAAAGTGTTCCTTCTCCTGCTTGCTTTGGATCTGTGTCTCTCCCGGAGTCGAATCCAGATCTTCACTGCACTCAAGCAAAGCCTTGTGCTCCTGCTCCAGTGTTTGCAGCTTGGGAAGGAGCTGTGAATCAATGCTGGTCTCAATCACCTCCCAGCACCTACGCACCAAAAACCCGTATCACCAAGGCTGGGACTGCAATGTGGACACGTTGACACGCACCCAGACCTCCTACCACTGGCCAGGAAAGGCCAAAGTGCTTTTTACTATGGAAGATCCCTGTCCTGCTAATTTCAGGTCTCACATCCAGCACGACCCTGTGCCTGCTCTTATTTCAGTGGTGATGAATGGGAAGTAGTGGTGACAGGCTCCATGCAGGCAATGATGGTTTGAGGAGAAAAGGGGTCAGGCAGGAGGGATGCTGCCAGCAGAGGGGCAATGGCAAATTCAGCTGCTTGAGGTGGGGAAACAGCCTTGGGCATCTGAAGGGAAAGAGGGTCAGAGGGATGGGATCAGCTCCTCTTTCCTCCTTGAACCTGCTGCTTCCCTTAGGAATCCCAAGTTTGAAAGCCAAGGGCTTTGCTACACCCCTGGACAGCAACCAAAGCCACAGGAACCCCTCCAGCAGCCAAACAGTTGTGAAATCAGTGCCTTTGCCTGCAGAGAGCCACAGAAGGTCAAGCCTGTGCTTTTGGGAAGGCAACAAAGGGGAGAAAGAGTCAGAAAGCAGCTGGCGTTCGTGATGCTGAGGGCTCCAGACCCAGCCGGGACTGCAGGACCTCCAAGCTTTCCGATTTGGGGGCAGAGGAATAAAGTCCCCAAGAGCATCCTAAAGAATCCAATAGGTAAGTTCACCCTGCAAGACAGAACACCGGCAACCAGAGGGGCCAAGAGGAGCCACAGTGAGAGCACAACGGGTAAAGGATTCCTACACTGCTCACCTTCTGTGAAGTGCTTCACTATCCTGATACCCATCTTCTTGATCCGAGCCAGCTTTGCCTGGAACACAGCCTCCTTCACTCCTCCCTTCATCCTTTGTGCCCTGTGTCTCGAGGGAGAATGAGAAGTTAGCACAAACTTAGACTGAACTCAGCACAGCGACATTCCAAACCTGCCCGGTTCTCTCATAAATCACCCCGACAGCCAGGAATCATGAGCTACATCATCCTCATTTACCTGCATTAGATAATCCATAGAAGCAAAATCCCCCCATGACCCTTAGTAACATGAAGGCACTGGTGGGTACCAGCTCATGCCAACAGGCTCTACACAACCGTGTATTCTCACACCCAGCATAAATCCTGCATCACACCTGCACAGGACGCACTCCTGCATTGACAGGAAGGGAAAACCAAGTGTTCCTGCACCACCAACTGTGTGTCCTCATAGAATCCCAGACTGGTTTGGGTTGGAAGGGACCTGGAAGCTCATCCAGGCTGGAAGCTCAGCCACAGGCAGGGACCCCTTCCACTGGAGCAGCTTGCTCCAAGCCCCTGTGTCCAACCTGGCCTTGAACACTGCCAGGGATGGAGCATTCACAACTTTCTTGGGCAACCCATTCCAGTGCCTCAGCACCCTCACAGTAAAGAACTCTTCCCTTATCTCCAATCTAAACTTCCCCTGTTTCAGTTTTAACCCGTTACCCCTTGTCCTATCACTACAGTCCCTGTTGAAGGGTCCCTCCCCAGCATCCCTATAGGCCCCCTTCAGACACTGGAAGCTGCTCTGAGGTCTCCACACAGCTTCTCTTCTCCAGGCTGAGCAGCCCCAATGTTCTCAGCCTGGCTCCATACAGGAGCTGCTCCAGCCCCTGAGCATCCTCATGGCCTCCTCTGGACTTGCTCCAGCAGCTCCGTGTTTGGAGCTAACCCTGTTTGCTCACTTTGCTTCCCAGAACAGCAGTCAAAAAGCCCTTGAAAATACCTGCAGAGAGGGCACAGCGACTCCTTCAGCCTCGGCTGGCGCAGGCAGTCCTTGCTTCTCCCTCTTCTGGTACTCAAAGAGCTCCTCTTTGAGCTGTTCAACCTTCCAAAGGAAAACACTTGGGTTTACTTCTGGTGAGCGTTCATCTCGGTGCCTTAGAGAGTGAAGAGAAACTGAAACAGGGCTCTAAGGAACAAAGGTGATTTGCTTTTAGCTCCACAGCGTGGTTGGCTGGAGGTGATCTCGGTCTGGCTGCAGAGAAAGCAAAACCTTACAGGTATCTTCTGGGTGTATCTGGTTCTCTTTCTGTGTATGCAAGCATTTGGAGACACACACACGTGCATGGACACACAGGGACTGAAAGCAGCCATGTCCTAACGCAAAGAAAACGTTACTTGGAATAAAGCAAACCAGAATGCAAGCCAAGGAATGCGACCTCAATGACAGGCTATAGCTTTGCAGAGCCTTGGTTTAGAGACTGCCCTGTAGATACAAGGTTGGACATCACAGATATGCCCAGATGCTATGGAAGGACCAGCAGCTTTCTTAAACGCAAGGAACAGAGCGAGGTGCAAGCATTTTAACCCCTCAAATGTGATTAAATTCCATTGAAGACAAGTGTTTGGTATGATTTGAGCTGTTCTCAGAGATACTCCATGTAAAAATACTCCTTTGAATCCAAGAGAACTGCAAGACTGAGCTTTCTGATGGGACGGTGCAAGCAATTACAGGTGCTGGCAACCAAATACAGGCTGCTGAAGGACTCACATAAAGAATTTAAGAGCTCAATTTGTGTCAAATGACCCCTTTGAATGGGAAACAGCCTTCAGTTCATTCACTATCAAAGGAATATCAGTAGTGATATTGCTATCACTATTGGAAGGAACTCCAATAGCGCAGGAAGGAGCTAACTTACTGATAATAAAGAAGGATGTTCCTGATACTAAGGGAGGAGCTATCTTAGTGATACGGATTATTGCATTTAGAGAATCCTAAATGTATTATGCCAAGTGTTTAACTGAAGGCAATGCAATAGTAATTCACTTAAAGGAAGCCCACATGAAATGAAAAGGGATGCTTTTTCCCTCCTGAGCAAATCAACAAAGGGATGTCTTTTTCCTACTGAGCAAATCAACAGAGCCACATAGCCACAAAGAGGCTGAGAGAGCAGGAGCATACACTTTAAATTGGTTTAAACCAGCCAGTATTGGGGTTTAGACCAAACTTACTGCCTTTAATAGCAGGCCCCACCGAAAGGTGGAAGTGTTGCTTACTCTGCTGGGCCACCTGATTTAGTGCAAACTGGCTGGTAACAGAAAGCATCCAAGTGATCCCATGCACTGGGCATAGGAAAATGGGTATTCCAGGGACCTGGGGGGGGTTCAGTGTGGAGAAGAGAAGGCTCAGGGGGGACCTGATGGCTCCCTACAAGTGCCTGACAGGAGGATGGAGCCAGGAGGGGCTGGGCTCTGCTCCCAAGGAACAAGGGATGGGACAAGAGGAAACGGCCTCAAGCTGCACCAGGGCAGGTTTAGATGGAGCTGAGGAACAATTCCTGCCCCAGAGGGTGCTCAGGCATTGGAACAGGCTGCCCAGGGCAGGGCTGGAGTCGCCGTCCCTGCAAGTGTTCACACACCCTCAGTGCCATGGGGCAGTGGTGCCCTTGGCAGTGCTGGGAACGGTTGGACTGGGTGATCCTAAAGGTGTTTCCCAACCCGGTTGACTGTGGTTCCATGGTGCAGCCGCAGAGCAGAGCTCCAGCACCAGGAGCAGGCACTCACCAGATGGATGAAGGCTTTCCTTTCCAAGTCGAGTGTCTGGGCTCGTGCTCTCAGTGCCAGGATCCTCCTGTCCACTCTGCTGCTGTGCTCCATGGCCCTCGGTAGCTCAGCCCTGCCTGCACAGAACAGAACAATCCGGTCACCATCACCAGCGTGGACCTTGCCCTCCACCAAGCTCAGAGCGGGGCTAGCACAGGGATAAGGTTTCTGAAGTGGCATTGCCCTCATGGACGTGTGTGACAGCGCACAGGGGATTGCCCCTCACTTGTGAGAACACATCCCCTGGCTCACACACTAAAGGTTTGTGGAGAGCCAGCTTCGATAGCAGTGCTCTGTTTATTGTAGGAGCACAGCAGCCTCTCCAGAGTTATTCCAGGGATTCAGTTTCCCTCTAGATCATGGAATACGCCTCACCTCTGATGGGTAGGCATGGGTTTCACGAGCTGGGAAAAACCCACTGCCGTATTCCTTACTTTCATCACCAAATTCAAGAGCCAAGCAGTGAATGGATTGGTGTTTATGACATGGCCAGTACAATAAAAATGATGCTGTGCACCAGCCCTTCAAACCTGACTCAGTGATGCAACCATCACCCCGACTGCCACAGACTCTGGTTATTTCAAGCGCAAGAAATGGGAAAAGATGTTTGTATTAGAGCACATTGACAGAAACATAGGATCATAGAGCAGTTCGGGTTGGAAAGGACCTTAAGATCATCCAGTTCCAACCCTCCTGCCATGGGCAGGGACACCTCACACTAAACCATGGCACCCAAGGCTCTGTCCAACCCAGCCTTGAACACTGCCAGGGATGGAGCATTCACAACCTCCCTGGGCAACCCATTCCAGTGCCTCAGCACCCTCACAGTAAAGAACTTCTTCCTTATATCCAATCTAAACTTCCCCTGTTTCAGTTTGAACCCATTACCCCTTGTCCTGTCACTACATCCTTAATGAAGAGTCCCTCTCCAGCATCCTTCCAGGCCCCCTTCAGACACTGGAAGGCTGCTCTGAGGTCTCCATGCAGCCGCCTCTTCTCCAGAGATGTCCAAGTAGACCTGGTATCCTAATGAGAACTAGGGAGAAGACAGTTTTCCTCTCAGAAAAGCAGAGGGTTTTCCCCTTTCAGCTCGACACTGGGCACAGCAAAATTCAGCTTAAATTTGACTTTTATTCAGGCAAAAATAAAACCACATCTTTTTTGGTCCCAATCTGGCAAAAAAGCCCCAACCAACCAACCAGAAACCCCCAACCCCAATGCCCTGTTTCAAACAAGGGGTTTGATACTGGATTTAAAACCAAAGGCAAGGATCTACCAAAGTGATGGTTGGGTTAAAATACCCATTTACCACTACAGAAAGCCTTGATAAAACTCTGCTTGTGAATAGGTGACTTACTGCTCCCTCTCCATCCGTGCATCCCTTCTTCCCGGCTCTCAGGTGTTTGATTCCATAGGGATAACACAAGGACGGGTTTGCTGTGCCTGTTTCTGAACACTGAACTCTGCCACCTCTTTAAATGCACTTTGTTAAGTACAGAATTGAAGGAAAACTAAAGAAAATAAATCACAGCAGCAGACAGCAATGGAAAACCTCTCATCACCAACGACCCAATAACCGACCAGAAGCAAGCCTGTGTTCTCTCTTCAGTGCAAACAAGCAGCACTGAACCAAAATACCCTGCCTAAGCGGAGTTTGACTGAAGACCAGAGGTTTCCTCTTAGGTTTGTATTAGAAAATGGGTTTATTTGCAGAGCAGCCGGCTCTGAAGCTGCTCGGGAGGAGAAGGCACGCAGACACACGTCGTTAGGGAGGCCACTAAGAGGTTATAGCACTAATTCTGCACACTAACACCCACAGCATAATAAACCCCAGAGACACAGCAAGCATGAAACCCTTACTCACGGTTTGGGAAGCCTTCTATTCACTTGATACTCCAGAAGATTATAAACCACACATTTCCCCACGCAGGTGATGATGCACTGAGAAGAGCCACACGCTGCACCACGCTGGCTTCAATCCCCAGGGATCCCGATCCATGGATTGGGGATCAATCCATACACAAAGCAGATGCCCACAGAGCGCTCATTGCCCTGCCTTTGATTCAAAGGCTGCAAAGGATGGGTTTGAGGCTGGTGAGGGCTGAGTGTGGTGTGTGAGCTGCGAGCCCAGCATCAGGACCTGCCATTCACACAAACCCTACCCCTGGGTACCAGTCGCCTTCTCTGCAGAGGCACGCGGGGCCAGACCGTGTTCCCTCATCCCATTCTGCTGTTCACTGAACTAGTGCATCACGGATGTGGGGACAATGCAAGTAACACAGAGGAAAAGCAACCAGGAACCAGTGGATTGCTTGGGGAGTCTCCTGTAGGAGACAGCAGCGAAGCAGCCGGCTATAGGAACTGCTCCAATAGGAGCTGTATGAAGCAGTTTGATTTCCCTCCTGAAAGCTGTTTGTTTCCACAGTCAGTATTTAGAAGCAAACTGTAATACTCAAAGGCTGCTCTACCCCAGTTACTTCAACGGGAGGGTAAGCAAATCTAAGCAGTCACTTCAGGACTGCTGCTAAGCTCAGCGGTGAGCACTTGCTAATGGCTCTTAAGAGGGCTGCATCCCAAATGGGGCATCTGAAGAGGCCCCAGATGAGCGGTCCAGCTGGGCTAACACTGCCTAAGTGGTGGTTTAGCTATTCTGCTCGTGGACCAAGCCATCATTTCCTCTCCTAGGGCATGAGTTTGTATTCAAGCCAGGGAGAGGAAGTCAGTCAAGACCCTGCTGCTGTAATCATGGATCTGATACCACTTGTTTCAGCTTTCCCCACTCAGAATTGGTGTGTGACTGCTGCATTCAGATCTCGTAGGTACCAGGCTAACATCGGGATGTGGAAAAAACACATCACAAGCAGAGAGGACACAGGACAGGCTGCCTCCAACTCCCCATAGCATCAGCTAGGCTGGAGAATACCTTTAAGACCATCAAGCCCAAGGCTTACACTAATTGGGCCTCTGTGTGGCCTCATCCAGACCCTCTTCAGCTCTTCCATGTGATGCTTGTCGCCTTTCCAGCTCTTCCCTATGGAACTGAAACACAAGGGCTAATGTTCCAACACAAACGAGATTGTATTGTGATCAATTCTGTATTGACCCAAGCTGGGGTCCCCCCTCCACACTGCTCCTGACACACCACAGTAGCAACACAAAGCAGCTCAAGGAAGCCACTGCAGATACAGAAGACAGACGGTGGATAACCCTCTTCCCTATGGACACAGGAAAGAATTTCCTCCTTATATCCAATCTAAACTTCCCCTGTTTCAGTTTGAACCCATCACCCCTTGTCCTGTCACTACATCCCTAATGAAGAGTCCCTCCCCAGCATCCCTATAGGCCCCCTTCAGACACTGGAAGGCTGCTCTGAGGTCTCCAGGCTGAACAGCCCCAACATCTCCAGTGTGTCTTTTACCTGCTTGAAAAACACAGGAAAGATGCCCAGTATGGGAACTGCAGGGAAGATGTTTCATTATGCACGAGGAGCATTAAGCTTGTAACGTGTTTTGGTCATTGAAGAATACATTTTCCTGTAAGAAGTCTCATTCCTGCATGAAAAGTGGGTAGAAATGGGGTATTTTCAGGCCTGTCACCTACCAGGGGACTCTGGCACCATGCACCAGGAGGAATTCAAGTCAACTCCACATTGCTCTTCACACATAGGCAGCCCCTGTTATTCCCACTGGTGGCTTTGTCCTTCACCCAGCCCAGCTGCAACAACGCTCCCTCCACCTTTACCCAGTAAAGAAAACTCTTCCTATAGAAACCCATTCCTTAGAGGAATCCTGCAGCCCGGTGCAGAGGGCATCAGCATGGAGAAATACAAGGAGCAAGAGCAGGAGGAGAAGGCAGGAGCCCGCACGAGCCCGCTCCTCGCTGCCACACACTGGGTTTAACAGAGGACCCAGCGCAATCACATCCTAAGGCTCAAATCAATCGCATGTTTCCACTCTGCATTTTGCAGCCCTATGGATGGAAAACACCCTGCGGCTTCCCCTGTGGGTGGAAACTACAGCTTGTTCAAGGAGGGGTCAAACCTGGCTGAGCCACAGCTTTGCTGCATGAAGCAGAGCAAAACACCGGGCTTTGCAGTTTAAATCCAGCTGCTCACTTGCTGCGTGGGCATTCTGAAGAGCTCACAGCTCAACTAAACTGACACAGACCCCCCCTTGGCTCCAACCTGCCCCACAGCTTTCATGGAATCATAGAATCCCAGCCTGGTTTGGGGTAAAGGGACCTTAAGGCTCATCCAGTTCCAACCGGGCACGGACCCCTTCCACTGGAGCAGCTTGCTCCAAGCCCCTGTGTCCAACCTGGCCTTGAACACTGCCAGGGATGGGGCAGCCACAGCTTCTCTGGGCACCCTCACAGGGAAGAGCTTCTGCCTTATCTCCAACCTGAACTTCCCCTGTTTCAGTTTGAACCCCTCACCCCTTGTCCTATCGCTCCAGTCCCTGATGAAGAGCTCCTCTCCAGCATCCTTGTAGCCCCCTTCAGACACTGGAAGCTGCTCTGAGGTCTCCATGCAGCTTCTCTTCTCCAGGCTGAACAGCCCCAGTGTTCTCAGCCTGTATTTGAATGGGAGCTGCTCCAGCCCCTGAGCATCCATCTAAATGTTGCCAGACCCCAACCAAACTAAGCTGAAAGCTGCTTGGCTTTATGGCCAGAAATAGCACCATCATCTCCCTCTAGGACCAACTCATGTGGCTGGCTCCTGCACTGATGGTTTCTCTTGCAAAACATGAAGCTGCACAGTTTGTGGCAATGGGACCAAGAACTTTTCCATAGGCTGAAGAGTCGGAAAGAGCTGTGAGGATGAGGGAAGCCCTGCAAGTGTCCCCAGCACCTTTATCCCTACCACCTCCAAAGCATCCTACTTGAGGAGAGCAAACGCCTCACCCAAGCGCTGCCGTACCAGCTCACCGCTGGGCTCCTGTTAGCGAGCATCTCCTGCTGCACCCCTGCAGCTTCTGTTTTGGGATTGGTTTTACACATGCAGAGGTGCCTTCCCCAGCAGGCTCCTTGGCAATGAGCATCTCACCCATATCCTCACACCCGCATCCTCTCCTCACGCTGGCTCAAGCAGCGTGGCTGGTACCATGAGCAAGCTCAGGCCACCGCTATTGCCTCTTTCCCTTGCAGCAGCGACGTGTTCTGCTGCTGGTACATCTGGTGCAGGAGTTATTGACCAGCCCTCCAAATCACTGCAGGGGGTTGGACAAGAGCCATCAGCAAGGGACTGAACCGCCCTGAGGCCAGGACAAACGGCACTCTGGGCAGAGGCACTGATGGAGGTAAAGCTCGGATCAATGACCAGTGTGAACCCAGCAGTGGCTGCTCTCTGCAGTAACCCTTTGAGCCCGCTTCAGAAGCAAATGTGTAAGCAGGAACTCACTCTTTATCACCCCAAACAGCTTTTGGCAGGTGGAATTGCTCCCAGAGGTCCCCAGCCCAAGCAGAGCTTGTGATCTGTTTGGCTGCTTTGGT